CACTTACTGAAATATTACGAAAAGAAGAGGACTGAAGAGCTATTGTGAAACCTCTATATAACGGACTTCTCTCTCTCTATATATATATATGTACTCCGTTAGATCCAGGTTTCATTTCAGATCTATGGACCCTCGATATAACAGACTTCTGTATATATAATCCGTTAGATGGGGTTCATCTAACGGACCCTCTATATAACGAACTCTCATCTCCTCCTCTTTCTTTCCCCAGGCCAAGCACTAAATTCCCTCCCGTTAATCTTTTTCTCAGTCAATTTACCTTTTTTTAATTGTCTAAAGTCTAATCATTTCTTACTTAAACTTTGGTGTAAAATGATTAAGTTTCCCCTCCTCATCTCCTCGTTTTCTTTGGGTTATATTTTTCACGTTTTCTCTTTCATGCAACTATGTTTTCTATGCCTTATTTTCGATGTTTTCTTCTCATATTAATTTTTCATGGAGTGTTTTCATTGCTTCATAAATCACGGGGAAAAGTTTGCAGGGTGTGGGTGGGTGTGGGCGGTTGTAGGCGGGTGTAGGCTAGTGTTGGAGTGTTTTAATTACCACCTACCTCTTCATGCACTTTTCTAAGGAGGTCTGGAAGAGGGAAAAATTGGTATTTATATTGTGAGAACCATTAAGGGTGTATTGTGATGTTTACTGACGAGGAAAATTACCTCTCTCTCTCTTTCTTCTCATTCCTTGTCCTCCTCCTTCATTCTCTATCCCTCATTTCTTGTCTTTCTCCTCCTTCCCTCCACCCTTCTCTCTCTCATACCTTGTCTTCCTCCCTTCATCATCCTCCTCCTCCCATATTAAGAGGTGGCAGCGGCATCCTATCTGGTTATACCGTAACTCCAGTATTTATTAGGCAGGTGAGACAGGTGAGGCTGCCCGCCCCTCACAGGCTAGGTTAGGTTAGGTATCTACTGGGGAAATATGCTTGTCAACACAGCCATAGTGAAGCAGGACACACACAACCTTCACACATAAGTATTTTAAGCTAAAAGCCTCTCACAGCTATAATACTGCTGTTGTAAAGCTGTCACAGCTACGACAGTCTGGCTTTATGGTAGCCGTTAGCTTAGTGTTGCACCAAGCTAAGATATAATAGCTGGGTGATGTACCAAGTTAAGACACGGTACACGTTTGGGGTGATGTACCGAGCTAAGACACGGTACATGGCCGGGGTACAAGGAATGGTCTGGTCTTGTAACATAAACTGTGTTAGGACCATAAACCAGACACTGACTTATCCGTGTTATGTAATATATTATTGTCGAGAGTGAGAGACTTGTGACTGTGTGTGGGAGCAACGAAAGCTGTCAACGAGTAGCAGATTTACTCATGGTAAGTAGTGACTGTGTGAGGTCTTGACGCCGCAGCAGGAAGCAACATCATCTTCATCCTCCCAACGACATATATCAACAGAAATAACATTAATCTTCACCATCCAAAACAAAATAGATCGTCGTTTTCCCTGACAGCAACAACAGGAGGAAGCATTTCACTACACACCAGAACACCTCTTCTCATTCCTCCCCCCAGCAGGTGTCCTCTACATATATCTTGAAAAGGAACAACAACAACAACAACAACAGCAACAACAATAACAACAACAGCCTCTCCTTGCTTTCTCTGTCTGCCTTTTGTCGTATCACAGACCTGGAGAGGGCCGACGCCATTAAAGACGTCCCCGTGTGCTTCTGTAAAATGTTAATCCAGATCCCACGATGTTTGTTTCGTGTGGAATAATCAGCTGCCAGATCTCCTTCCGCTCTTGTCTTCAGTGAGAGGAAGTGGCGAGGCGATAGTGTGGGAAGGGCGGGTGGGAAGGGGGTCGTGTGGGAGGGTCGTGTGGGAGGGACGTGTGGGGGGGGACGTGGGGGAGGGACGTGGGAGGGGGGACGTGTGGGAGGGGGACGTGGGGGAGGGGGACGTGTGGGGGACGTGTGGGAGGGGGACGTGTGGAGGGACGTGTGGGGGGGCAGTGTGGGAGGTTGACCGTGTGAGCGTGACGTGTCGTAGAGGGACGTGAGTAGGGCGGCAGATAGAGGAGGGAGGGCGCGTCTTCAAAAAGTGTTGACTCAGGATAGCGCTAAAGAGAAGAGAGAGGGCCCATTACACAGTCCTGCTACACGCTGTTCTACATAACAAAGGAATGACTGGCTGAGGGAGGGAGGATTGTGTCGTAGGTCAGGGTAAAGAGAGACTACGCCACACTCTTCCTCTTCTCCTTCCTCTTCCTCCTCCGGCGAAGAGTGAGAGAGAGTGAGAGGTCATCAGTCATAGCCAAGCACCAAGGGTCATGGGGGGAGGGAGGGGAGGGAAGGGGAAGGGAAGGGAGGGGAGGAGGGAAGGGGAGGAGGGAAGGGGAGAGGGGGGAGGAGGAGGGAAGAGGAGAATCTATTACTACTGGGAGGAGGGGAAGGAGGAAGGAAGAGGAGGAGAAAAAATGTCAGTGCGTGAGTATATCCGTACATGAATCTCCCCATACGTGTGTCTGTCCTTCCCACCTGTCCCTCCCTCCGTCACACCTGTCCCTCCTCCCTCACACACCTGTCCCCCCCTCCCTCCCTCATCACACCTGCTCCTCCCTCCTTCCCCATCACACCTGTTCCTCCCTCCCCATCACACCCGTCCTCCCTCCCTCACACCTGTCCCTCCCTCCCTCACACCTGTCCTCCTCCTCCCCATCACACCTGTTCCTCCTCCTCTCTCACACCTGTTCCTCCCTCTCACACCTGTCCCTTCCCTCCTCACCTGTCCTCCCCTCCCTCACACCTGTCCCTCCTCCCTCACACCTGTCTGTCCCTCCTCCCTCCCTCCATCACACCTGTTCTCCTCCCCTATCACACCTGTTCCTCCCTCCTCCCTCACACACCTGTCCTTCCTCCTCACACCTGTCCTCCCTCCTCACACCTGACCTGACCTAACCTGACCTAACCTGACCCTGACCTAACCTGACCTGACCTAACCACCTGACCCAACCTACTCTTAACCTACCTGAGGAACACTGTCTCTTGTTACCTGTTTGTGTCTAATGGAATATTCTATGGAAGATTCACTGCACTGGTTTACAAGGGTCTGTGTGTGTGTGTGGGGGTGTGTGTGTGTGTGTGTGTGTGTGTGTGTGTGTGTGTGTGTGTGTGTGTGTGTGTGTGTGTGTGTGTGTGTGTGTGGTGTGTGTGTGTGTGATCTTCAGGTACCCAAACATACATACACACACACACATATATATAAACATAATGACTTTGTTTATCCATGTTAAAAAACCTTTAATCCTCGTATCAAAGATTAACAAAAGCTGTGAGGAAGAGCCGGATTAAATTCATTTATTTGATCTCACAAAATTACCCAAAAAAAATTGTATCTTTTTCATTTCCGTAGAGTTTTCCTCTAACAAAAAAAGGTAGTTATTTAAGCTCTTATACTGGAACACACACACACACACACACACACACACACACACACACACACACACACACACACACACACACACACACACACACACACACACACACACACACACACACACACACACACACACACACACAACACTCTTAACCCAATTTGGAGCTGGCTGGAAGTAATTAACAGGTAACCAAATTTAGAACAGGTAATATAAATCTATCAAAAATTACACCTGGTTTATGTGAGTTGTGTAATGAAGTAAAGTTAATGTTACCTGTAATTAATACCTGAGTTATTGTACAGGTATGAGAGGTGTAAGGTGTCACATATGAGCAATTTTGTCCCGGGTTAAAATTGATACTTATTATAACATTCAGAAATAGTGAAATCTCCATATACCGGATTTCGATTTAACGGATTAACTTAACTATATATACTGTATATATAATCAGTTAATCCCTCTCCTATTGTCAGTTAAAAGGTTTCATATATAACGGGCTACCCTCCCTTATTATGGACGTTTCACTGTGTCTAGGGAAAATAGAAATATATACAAATATATGTATAAAAATAATTTGAAAATGTAAAAATGAAAAATATATGAAAATGTAATCAATAAAAACAAAAAAATAAACCTTTGAGAATTTAAACCAAGTTACCAAAGTTTATTTCGTCCACATATAAACCAACATTAGTTTTAACCCTTTGGCCTAACGAACGATTCACCGCACTGCACGCAATTTGAAGTGGGGGGAGAAAGGGAGGGAGAGTGGGGAGAGAGGGAGGGAGAGTGGGGGAGAGGGGAGGGAGAGTGGGGGGAGAGAGGGGAGGGAGAGTGGGGGAGAGAGGGGAGATTGTGGAGAGGAGAGGGAGACTGGAAGAGGGAGAGAGGGAAAGGTGAAGATGGGTGAGTGATGTAGGAAAGGGTCTGAAGAGAGAGGAAGGGAAGAGGTGGAGAGAGAGAGAGAGGGAGAGGGCCTGATAGAGAGGGGCTGAGGGAGATGTGGAGAGTGGTGGAGAGGAGGAGGGGGAGAGGTAGGAGAGGGCCTGGAGAGAGAGAGAGAAAGGTGAGAGAGATTGGAGAGAGGGAGGAGAGGGAAGGGAGGGGGGTGAACATGAAGCCGCAATAAGCATAGACTGTATATGTTCAGGAAGGCGGTGAATAGAACCAATTAACTAGACTGTCAGTCCAGCCTGTTGACTTGGTCCAGCCGGGTCTCCAAAGCCGGATATGCCCACGTGCAGTATATTATATCCGGCCGGTCCCTGGTAGCAACGACTCAATCCTAACAGCCATATTGGACTCCTATTGGACTCGTTATTCACCCTGGACTCTTTCACTTGGCCATATTAGACCATCACTCAGCCATATTGGACTCTAATACTCGGCCCTATTGGACTCTTATTGGTACTAACCCTGAGTCTATCATTCATACTAAACAATCAACAAATATATATTGACTATATCCTTAACATATTAGACCTTTATTAGACTCGATATTCACCCTAGACTATCATTCCAAATTGGACTCCATCACTTAGCCATATTGGACTCATATTAGAGTCTTTATTACCTTGGTACTCACCCTGGCATCTGGACCGTTAGCCTCGAGAGTCTTAGTGCTGATGACGAGTTGTTCCCGCTGGAGGACGAGTGAGTCTGAGGTGAGGATCAGCTTCATGGGTTGAGGCTTAGACTTGCCGTCACTCACGCTCACCAGCCCAGCGTGCATCTGTGGGGGAGGACGTGGTTTAGTACATGGGTAGGACGTGGTTTAGTACATGGGAGGACGTGGTTTAGTACATGGGAGGACGTGGTTTAGTACATGGGAGGACGTGGTTTAGTACATGGGAGGACGTGGTTTAGTACATGGGAGGACGTGGTTTAGTACATGGGTAGGACGTGGTTTAGTACATGGGAGGACGTGGTTTAGTACATGGGAGGACGTGGTTTAGTACATGGGAGGACATTGGTGCGACGTAGGTGTACTCATAGCAAAAAATAGTATGTGGTGTTATGTGGTAGTACTGACAAAGAACACTTTAGTACATGGTAATACATAATGAGTACATTTTAGTACATAGTGGTATATGAGAGTACTTACCAAGAGTACATATAAGAATAGTACACCCAAATACCCACTAGTACAGAATTAGATAAGCACATTGCTAGAGTACATTATGGTGAGTATATTTGAGTACACTGAGTACATTGGAGTACATCCCTGACCTCACATTAAGACACGGTGGAGGAAGGTCTATTACATGTTGCATAGCTCTATCTTGTCACAAGCAGCCCATTGCATCAGGTTTATTGAGATGCAACAAGTCCGCGTCAATGATTGCAACAGCTGACGCTCTCCTCATGCACTACGAGTTGAATGTGGAGGAGGTACATATTCACCCAGCAACATCTACACATTCACTTAGAAACTGAACATTTACCTAGAAATACCTAAATATCCCCTGAAATTATGTACATTCAACTACAAATATCTACACATTCATCTAGCACCACCTACACATTCACCTAAGAACGTCTACATATTCACCTAGAAATATCTGGTATTCAACTACAAATAGCTACACATTCACCTAAACCTACACATTCAACTAGAAAATCTACATATTCACCTCGCAACATATTCAATAACCCACAAACATTCACACATTCAGCAAGCAACTATCCCATGAAAAAGACACCTGGCCCAAACATACAACATACACTACACATACAACATACACTACACAACACTACACACACAACATACACTACACATACAACATACACTACACATACACTACACATACAACACTGCTAGCCACCACATACACTTGAGGGAGACAGCCTATAGAAACAACACTCCACACCACATTTATAATAACACATTCAACATACAGCCCTACACCCTACACTCTCTCTCTCTCTCTCACACCAGACAAGTAAAACCATCATTAAGACAGCTTTTAGCGACACTGTGGCGGAACGAGATACAATTTACACAAGTTTGAGCCCTGAATTGAGCTCCAGAACGCGCTCAGTTGAGTCCGAAGAAGGCAGGAAGGCAGGAAGGGACTCTAAAGCTACTCAGCCTTGGACTCTTGGGTGATATGGTGAACTTGGACTCATAAAAAAATGGTATACAAATTGAGTCATCGAGATTGGACTCTGTTGTGGTCTTTAAGTGGACTCGAGCGACTTACATGGACTCAATAATGGACTCCTTGAGGAGTAGAAAGCAATAGGAAGCCACAAATGGACTTAATGGACTCGTGATTAGATGTATTGTGTGACGCCTCGGTAGACCGGTTCAGAGAGTAACATTGGAAGCGGATTCGACACGGGAATCTGATGTTGATATCTGACACACGAACACGCTGATAGGATGTTGATATCTGACACACGAACACGCTGATAGGATGTTGAGATATGACACACGAACTGCAAATCCACATCGGTGCATTAAAATCCGCATAATCCACATCAATAAAATTAATCCACATCGACAAAATTAATCCACATCGAGAGTTAATCCACAAAGACCGATTAAATGACGGTTCTAACTCAGCTTAATGAAGATAGGTTTTAACTTTCCCTCCAGCCATGAACGGGGGATACTGGCCTATAATGGTCTTGGGGACTACTCTGAGTGGGTGTGAGAGGGACGAGGGAGTGGTACGAGAGAGGGAGTGATGTAGGCGTGTGAGAGGAGCAGGGTAGCGGTGTGGGCGTGAGCGAGGGGAGGTGAGAGGGAGAATGATTAATGAGAGAAGGGGGAGAGAGGGAGAGAAGAGAGAGAACGTGTGTGTGTGGGCATAACAACCCTATTCATATGCATATTGCTTGAGCTTTGTTCGTTATTACAAGCAACTCAAAATTACCCTAAAATAACAAGGGGAAGCCGAGGTGATAAAGGCATGGACACTCCCTCCCCCCACCACAGTCAAAAGATAACACCTAATCGGCAACTCAGCGGTAGGGGGCGGGGCGTCGATCCAGCTGCGTTCGGTGATTAGCTGTTGCAGAGATGACATCACTTTTATTATGACGTCATTGAATAGGGTATAATGTATAGTGGTAATTGTTCGTCTTCATAACATCCTCAGTGTTTATTGTTGACTAAGATAATGCCTAACCGACAACTCCGCCAACCAGGTGTAGAGTGGGTGGGAGGGGGGATGGGGGAGGGATGGGGGGTGGGGGATGGGGGGGGGGGGATGGGGGATGGGGAGGGAGGGAGGAAGGTCCGATGATTGGTTGCCGTCGTGTTGACATCGACTACGCATTATGACGTCACCGGAGAGAATTATTTGTCGAGTGAAATATTCGTTTAATGACGGCTTAACTTTCACTGTTGACACCTGGTGGAGTTAATAATGACGTAATTAATGATTTGCGGTTATGGACACTCTCACTTCATCACAACCCGGGATTATAAGCTTCTGGAGGCACTACCAACACGTTTATTACCTTTGTCAATAACTGGATATTGAAACCCCAAAATTAACACACTGAAATTATTTTTAACTTATAAGATATAGTTTGGACATAATAATGTTTAGTTGTGATTGGGTGATGGTTGTAGTTGTGATGGTTGGAAGCCAGATGGTTGTAGGTGTGATGGTTGTGAAGCTGTGATGGTTGTAGTTGTGATGGCTAGAAGCGATGGCTGTAGTTGTGATGGTTGTAGTTGTGATGGTTGTAGGTGTGATGGTTGTAGTTGTGATGGTTGTAGTTGTGATGGTTGTAGTTGTGATGGTTGTGGTGTGATGGTTGTGATGGTTGTAGGTGATGGTTGTAGTTGTGATGGTTGTAGTTGTGATGGTTGTAGGTGTGATGGTGTAGTTGTGGATGGTTGTAGGTGTGATGGTTGTAGTTGTGATGGTTGTAGTTGTGATGGTTGTGGTGTGATGGTTGTAGTTGTGATGGTTGTGGTTGTGATGGTTGTAGGTGTGATGGTTATAGCTGGTGATGGTTGTAGGTGTGATGGTTATAGTTGTGATGGTTGTAGTTGTGATGATGTGTAGTTGTGATGGTTGTAGGTGGATGGTTGTAGTTGTGATGGTTGTAGGGTGATGGTTGTAGGTGTGATGGTTGTAGTTGTGATGGTTGTAGGTGATGGTTGTAGGTGATGGTTGTAGTTGTGATGGTTGTAGGTGTGATGGTTGTAGTTGTGATGGTTGTAGTTGTGGATGGTTGTAGTGTGATGGTTGGTAGTTGTGATGGTTGTAGGTGTGATGGTTGTAGGTGTGATGGTTGTAGTTGTGATGGTTGTAGGTGGATGGTTGTAGGTGTGATGGTTGTAGGTGTGATGGTTGTAGGTGTGATGGTTGTGAGTTGTGATGGTTGTAGGTGTGATGGTTGTAGGTGATGGTGAGTTGTGATGGTTGTAGGTGTGATGGTTGTTGTGATGGTTTGTAGTTGTGATGGTTGTGGTTGTGATGGTTGTAGTTGTGATGGTTGTGGTGATGGTTGTAGGTGTGATGGTTGTAGTTGTGATGGTTGTAGTTGTGATGGTTGTGTTGATAGTATGGTTGTAGGTGTGATGGTTGTGGGTGTGATGGTTGTGTTGTGTGATGGTTGTAGGTGTGATGGTTGTAGTGTGATGGTTGTGATTGGATGGTTGTGATTGTGATGGTTTGTTGTGATGGTTGTAGGTGTGATGGTTATAGTTGTGATGGTTGTAGTTGTGATGGTTGTAGTTGTGATGGTTGTAGTTGTGATGGTTGTAGTTGTGATGGTTGTAGGTGTGATGGTTTAGTTGTGATGGTTGTAGTTGTGATGGTTGTAGGTGTGATGGTTATAGTTGTGATGGTTGTAGTGATGGTTTTGGTGGTTGTGGTGTGATGGTTGTAGGTGTGATGGTTGTAGTGTGATGGTTGTGTTTGATGGTTGTAGGTGTGATGGTTGTAGGTGTGATGGTTGTAGTTGTGATGGTATTATGAGGTGAAGGTCACAACTTATACTGCGTCATCATGATAGTTGACTAATACAAAAAATATATATTTATAAAAGTTTTATTTGACTATAAGAGAAATATTTCACATAAATCACTGTTCATTTCATATGCTGTCAACTTTGCATATCAATATTCAGTCAACACAAGTTCGTCAGCAAATTTGTCTCTCCTAAAATGTCCCAAATGGAATATATTTTAACTTGCATTTCTAGTGATTTATATTTTCTCACAAACTATAAAAAATATTCTAATAAGTGACCTTACTGTATATCAACAGGTAACCAATGAGCTAATTAAGACACCTGTACTCACCTTCAATCACCAGGTATCATAAGACACTACTTTTTCAATGGTGAATCACTCAACTAAACTATCTCTACTTGGGGTGATCGATGAATTTCAGAATGAACACTATGACTCCCGTTGTCTCGTTAAGGTTGTCAAAATCCTTCGTCCAATGTGTCATATATTCTCAACACAATTTGGTATAGATAATTTTTGGTGACTGTATATATATAGAAAAATATATTATTCTTTTTGGATGACCCTGTATATATATATATTTTCGTAATATTTAGTCTATTAGTGAGATTACGAGCGGAAAAGTGACGGAAAATGCAGACCAAAATGTGTTGAGTGAGTCGGGTGTTTGTTCTGCATGAAGCGAACTGGGAAGGTGTATGGGGGGTGATGGGGGGATGGGGGGATGATGGGGGGATATGAGGGGGAGAGGGGATGATGGGAAGAGAATGGGGGAAGGAGGAGAAGGGGAAGGATGAGAAGGTGGAAGGAAAGAAGGTGGAAGGGAA